CACCAGTGGCCTGGCCCATTTCTCCCTGCTCATGTCCCTCCACTCCCCCCCGATGCCATGCCGCTGACCTCGGCCCCCTCCCCCCGCAGACTCCCCCTCCCCCCCAGGTGCATAGCTGCTGCCTTGGTGCCCTCCCACTCTGGTCTCCCCCCGCCCCCAGGCGCAGCGCCGCTGGCCTGGCCCTGGCCCCCTCCCACTCCACCGCAGGGCCGGCCTGAGGAAAACGGGCGCCCGAGCTGCAGGTGTCGTGCTGGGGGGGCAGAGAGGGGGCGCGTTGAGCACCCGGCTCTCGCCTCGCAGCCCCTGTTATTCCCTCCCCCGCCTCCTGGGGTGGGCACGGCCCTTCTGCCGCCTCTTGGCCCCAGCGCCCCGGCCCTGGCTGAGGCAGCGGGCGCTGGTTGGGCGGGGGGAGCCCAGGGGCACGTGCCCTGGGGGGGAGCTGGGACCTGTCCCCCTTGACACCTCCTCTCCCCCCAGCTGACAACCGCACCCGGAAGCGTGTGGCCAACCAGAGGAACAAGAGGGATTTCTCCGCCTTCAAGGACTCCGACAGCGAGCTCAAGGTGAAGGTCTCGCCCCAGCTGCTCCTGGCCGCACACCGCTTCCTCGCCACTGGTGAGTCTCCACCGGGGGCGGACCAGGGGGGTCAGGGGGAGGGGGGGGGTTGGGAGGGCGATGGGGTCACAAGAGGGGGAGGGGTGGGGTGCATTGGTCATGGGAAGGCAAGGGGGTCGGGGATGGGGGTCAGGAAGGACAAGGGGCTGTCGGAGGGCAAGGGGTCTTGCAGGAGGACAAGGGGGTCAGGTTGACGGGGTGATCTCAGCCCTGGCTGGCAGAAGGGGGGCGCTGGGGGAGCAGGGGTTGAGAGCGGGTGGCTGGGGCAGATCCGGGCCACAGGCGGAGGCGCGGTCCTGGGCTCGCTGCTGGTGCTCTGCATGTCTGGCAGCTCCAAGGGCTTTAAGCCCACAGTTCCTGGTGCCCGTCCAGTGCCAGAGGTGAGGGGCCTGGTCTCCTGGCATTGCCCTGAGACGCTCCGGGAGGTGGTGGCGCCAGGCCCCCGGCCGTGTTGCGGTGCAGCACAGTGAGGGTTACGGGTGGAGTTGTGGGCGGAAGCCCAGGGCACCCGCTGGCTCCTGGTGCCCGGGGATCCACCCCCGGCCCCTCCAGGGCGTGCTCCTTTGGGGCTGTTGGTGGGTGCGCCCGGCGTGGCTGGGCCGGACCGAGTCTGGCACACACGCACCAGCCTGTAGGTCCCCCATAGCGGGGATAGGACGTGTCAGCCCCTCCCACACCCCTTCTGTTCATGTCTTTGCACACACGTGCCCTGTGCCAGCTAAGCAGCAGACACTGGTACAGTCCCACAGGGGGATGGAGACGCCCACCTGCATGGAGCCCAGCTGAGGACACACACACACACACACCCATGGGGCTCGGTTCGCCGTCTCCCAGCATGTAAAACCTACAGCTCTGATCCCTGCCGGACGGGGTTGTAGAAGCGATGCTGGCCGTAAGGAAGGATCCCGTCGACTGTCTCATTCCAAAATCCCCGGGTTTCTGTCTCGTTAGCAGCCCCTCGTTATCCCGTCTCTGCAGCGTCGGGCTCCCCACCAGGGGGCTGCCCCCCACCTGGGTGCAGCACCAGTGACCTGGCCCATCTCTCCCTGCTCATGTCCCTCCATCCCCTCGATGCCGTGCCGCGACCTGGCCCCTTCCCCTGCAGACTTTCCCCCCCCCCCCCCCCCAGGTGCATAGCTGCTGCTTTGGCGCCCTCCCACTCTGGTCGCTCCCCACCAGGGGGCTGGGCCCTGGCTCAGTTTCTTGCAGTCAAACCAAGGAGCAGCCTGGGGGTGGCAGCTGAGCCCGGGGAAAGGGGAGCGCGGGCTGGACTCATGCCCACAGTCCCAGGAGGCGACATGCCCTGGCAGTGTGGGACACGGTGCCCACCCGGCCACGGGAGGAGACGCGATACCCGCCTGGTCTGTAATTACCCTCTCCGTAGGCAAACGACAGCTGGGTTTGGAAACAAATCCGCTGCAGCCCAGGACTTAACTCTCCTCCCCGCCCCCGAGAGACAGAGCAGTGTATGGAGGGGGAAACCGAGGCACAATGCCCTACCCAAGGGGATCCAGCAAGCTAGTGTCAGAGCCAGGTCTCCAACGCCCAGCCCTGGCCCTAACCAGTAGGCCCCGCTTCCCTTGTGCGGTCGGGGGTCCCAGCTGCCAGCTGGCCCATCTGGTCACCGCGTTGTGGTTCTAAGCTGTGGTTGGGAGTCACGACTCCTGGGCTCTGTGCCCAGCTCTGCCACCGACTTTGGGCAAGTCACCTCTGGACAATGGGCCACAGTACAGCCGCGGTGCCAGGCGAGGGGGCAGAAGAGCAGGCTCCCGCCCCACTGCCAGCGGGATGCCTGGCAGGGAGGCTGTCCATGGGGGATGGTTAGCTGGCGCAGGGCCTTTCCGTCCCGGGGAGCCAGCGGAACCCACCGGGCCCGCCCGTGGCTCCTTTCCCCCCGCCTGGCGCTCGTCCCATGGGGCATGGCTCATTTGTGCCAAGGCTGCCAGCGTTCCCCTCCCTCTTCCCGGCCAGGCGCTCCACACCAGAGGTGGCTGCGTGGAACTAGCTTGGGATCGGATGCAAGGGGCTTGGCTCAGTCCTCTGGGGGCACATGGTTCTGTGGAAGCTCCTGGGGCAGGGGGTTTGTGCAAGGACGTGGCCCCCAGGGGGCATCTGACCCATCCGCCCTCCCCCCCCAGAAGTGACGCTCTTCATGCCGACCCTCATCTCGGAGAAGATCCTGCTGCGGCTTCTCAGACACCCCGACGTCATCCACGAGCTCAAGTTCGACGAGGAGAACAAGAAATCGCCCCGGCACTTCCTGTACCACAGGAACAAGCCGGCTGACTACTTCATCCTCATCCTGCAGGTGTGCCGGGTGGGGCAGGGCCACGGGGGGCAGGGCATTCGGGGGACCCCAGCATGTCCACCTGCTGCAGGGGGGGCGGCTGGGTGCAGCCCATGGGAGAGGAGGGGGGCTGGGCAGCTGTGGGGGAGTGGGGAGCAGTGGGGGGGGCTGGGGGACTGCGGGGGACTGTGGGGGGCTGGGTGCAGCCCATGGGATAGGAGGGGTGCAGCCTTGGGGGGGGGGACGTGGCGGGACTGCGCGGGGGACGTGGTGGCAG